CCCATTAGAAATGTCCATCCAGTTGGGAGCTATGAGTCCTCTGAAATGAACAGCATAATAGGGCTTTGGAGTCCGACCCTTCTGATCATCCAGTAGCAAATAAATCTCAAGCAGATGATACGGCATTGGAGTCCAACCCTTCTGAAGCAAAGAAATCCCAAACAGATGCACAAGAAATTGGAGAAAACAGTCGTACAAACCATATATATACTAAGCATTTTTCTTTGAAATTCAGTTCATGCTCAACAATTTTCCTTGATGACAGCACAGCCAGCTGCCCTCATTTTAAAATGACACTAAAATCTGTGGCCTTGGAGATATATTATATTATCAAGAAAAGAGATGTAGATAGAACTTTGGAAATATTTGGCGAACGTTTATACCCATTTACACAAAAAGAGGTTCTGGAAGAATATGTTATGCATGATCCTACAAACAAAATGATTTTCAGATTTATGCATACTCTGTTTAATGCCAAAAGGCTAAATGCTGCCTTAGCAATCATAAGTTTGGTATACATAAAAAGACTTGTAAAGTGTGCTGATATCAACATTTGTCCAACCAACTGGAAGAGGATTATCTTCGGAGCCATTCTTCTTGTCATCAAGGTTGGGAGCAATGTGGCTGTGTGCAATGAGGACTTGTGCAAGCTCTTTGAGAAAATTACAGTTGAAGATATGAATGAGTTGCAAAGGTACTTCTTGGAGCTAATTAATTATAATACCAACATTCCTGGAAGCATGTATACCAGATACTACTTCTGTCTTTGTGTCTTGGCATTCAGGCATCACCTGAGTTTGCCATCTTACCTTCTTGACAGAGAAAGAGCATGGGATCTGCAGGCTTTATCAAGGATGGAACAAGACAAAGTGTTCTATACTGCTCGCAAGAACGGGTCTTTGAGTGCTGATGATTTAATAAGTCTTCAGCTCGCTAAGGCCGTCCTCTCCTGAAGGAAGAAATGAGGGGTAATGTAACATCTGAACCCCTCACCAAAAAAGACAGGAAAATACCACCTCTCCTGCTAAATAACTAGAAAAGTTTGTATTTTCAAAAGCAGAAATACCTCAATTCAAGTCAACTCAAGGACAACTAAGATTGCACTTTATAGTAAACAATGGGACCTTGTCAGGGCAACAACACAGTCTTACACTCTTCTGTCCCTTTTTTTTTTTTCTTCTTTTCTTTTTTTGAGACGGAGTTTCGCTCTGGTTACCCAGGCTGGAGTGCAATGGCGCCATCTCGGCTCACCGCAACCTCCGCCTCCTGGGTTCAGGCAATTCTCCTGCCTCAGCCTCCTGAGTAGCTGGGATTACAGGCATGTGCCACCATGCCCAGCTAATTTTTTTGTATTTTTAGTAGAGACGGGGTTTCACCATGTTGACCAGATGGTCTCAATCTCCTGACCTCGTGATCCACCCGCCTCGGCCTCCCAAAGTGCTGGGATTATAGGCGTGAGCCACCGCACCCAGCCTTCTTCTGTCCCTTTTTTTTTCTTTTTTTTTTTTTTTTGAGACAGAGTTTCGCTCTTGTTACCCAGGCTGGAGTGCAATGGCACGATCTCGGCTCACCGCAACCTCCGCCTCCTGGGCTCAGGCAATTCTCCTGCCTCAGCCTCCTGAATAGCTGGGATTATAGGCACGCGCCACCATGCCCAGCTAATTTTTTGTATTTTTAGTAGAGACGGGGTTTCACCATGTTGACCAGGTTGGTCTCGATCTCTCGACCTCGTGATCCACCCGCCTCGGCCTCCCAAAGTGCTGGGATTACAGGCTTGAGCCACCGCGCCCGGCCCTGTCCCTTTTAATGTAAAAATAAAGTTACAGAAACCACCTCAAAGTGAAGGCTCCTTCTGCCCACTCACAGATACTTGCTTAGTGTGTCGGCTGATAGCTGTGAACTATGTCAGGCTTTTTTTGTTTTGTTTTCAGATGAGTCTCACTCTGTTGCCAGGCTAGAGTGCAGTGGTGTGATCTCGGCTCAATGCAATTTCCACCTCCTGGGTTCAAGCCATTCTCCTGCCTCAGTCTCCCTCCTTAATTAAATGTTTTATTTTAAGTAGCTGGGATTACACGGGCACCCGGGCTATGTAAGGCTTTTAAAACAATAGTTTAAATTTTTAAAATTTTAAAGATAACTTTTCTGTTTTTTTAAAAAATATTTTTTCTTTTCCCCCAAATTGCAGTATTAGTATTAAGACATGTCAAAGGAGTTCATGAATAGCACAGTCTTTTCTTCATGGGGGTCCTTCCCTTCAGGTGTCCCAGCCTGCTTGCAGCAGCCACAGACAGAGCCTTTATACTGAGAGAAGCTACAGAGTGCTGGAAAGCTGGGAATGCACAGGCAGATATAATCAGAGTTGAAAACAGGAGGTGTTTTGTGATATCCTCTGTGAGGGAATAATTGTTATTGTCCTGAGGCTGTTTCTAGATACTGTCAAATAAATTCAGATGTAGGTAAGAGGTGACTTTATTCTAAAGGAGTATTGCAATGGGGAAAGCACCAAGCATCAGATCTGCAAGCATCTCACAAGAGGCAGAAAAGGGCTATGTTTTTTATGGAGGAGCAAACAAGATTAGAAGGAAGGTGGGAGGAAGAGTGGAGAATGGCAAAATCAGATTCAGGTTTAGGGAATGTTTCAGCCAAGTCAGCCTGTTCTTAGGAGGGGCATAAACGGGGTTTGTATGTTGGCTCAGACTGAAGGCAGAGCAGAGTCTGGGAGCTGGGGAAAGGAGAGAAACTTAAGCAAAGTTGTGATGGAATTCCTGGGACCCAGGAGGCAAAGGCTGCAGTGAGCTGAGATTGCACCAGTGCACTCCAGGGTGACAGGGTGAGACTCTGTCTCATAAGTAAATAAATAAATATTTTAAATAAAATCTTGTTTTAAACAAAAAAAAATTTTTTAATGAATCGATTTTTTATAGCAAAAATAACTAATTTATTGTGCATTTATGACATAAGTAGAAGCAAAACTTGTGATAACAGCACAAAACTAGAAGATAAAATGAAAGTATACTTTCGTAGGCCGGGCGCGGTGGCTCAAGCCTGTAATCCCAGCACTTTGGGAGGCCGAGGCGGGTGGATCACGAGGTCGAGAGATCAAGACCATCCTGGTCAACATGGTGAAACCCCGTCTCTACTAAAAATACAAAAAATTAGCTGGGCATGGTGGCACGTGCCTGTAATCCCAGCTACTCAGGAGGCTGAGGCAGGAGAATTGCTTGAACCCAGGAGGCGGAGGTTGCGGTGAGCCGAGATTGCACCATTGCACTCCAGCCTGGGTAACAAGAGTGAAACTCCATCTCAAAAAAAAAAAAAAAAAAGAGAAAGAAAGTATACTTTTGTAAGCTTCTTATACTATACACAAAGTGGTAGATTCTTACTTTAAGATAGACTTTAGGGTGATAAGTTAAAGACATATATTAGAAACCCTAAAGCAACAGCTTAAAAAAATAACAAGCAAAGAAGTATGGTCAATAGCCAACAAAGGAGGCTGAAGCATGAGAATCATAAGCTGAATCACAGTTTGGAAAAATAGAAAACAAATACCAATCATATTTCTTTCTTTTTTTTTTTTTTTGAGATGGGGGTCTGGCTATGTTGTGCCTGCTGGCCTCAACCTCCCAAAGTGCTGGGACTACAGGTCTGAGCCACCCCATCCCGTCCAGCCTGCAATCATAATCACTTTAATGAAAATGTTTTAAACATCCAAATTAAAAGGAAGAGACCAGTCTGACTAGATAAAAAAGCAAGACCCAACTATATGCTGTCAACAAGTGATCCAATTTGAATATAAATACACAAATAGATTAAAATGGGTTGAAAAAGATATACTATGCTAGCATTAAACAAAAGAAAGCTAGTTATATTGATAGCAGACCAAGTAGACAAAGAGGAATAAAGAGGGCCACTTCTTATCTTAATGCTATAGAGGTTAATGGAAGAGAACATAACAATCCTAAATGTTTACATACCTAACTTCAAAATGCATGACACACACTGATGGAATTGAAAGCAGAAGTAAATTCACAATTATAGTAGGAGATTTCAACATCCTTCTCTTAGTAATTGATCTCTTTGGCTGCTCTGAGACTAGTCTGCAATGAACCAAGAGTGAATGAGTGCACATATGAGGTCAGAGTTTTTAAAAAGATATCACATATGGGCCGGGCACGGTGGCTCACATCTGTAATCCCAGCACTTTGGGAGGCTGAGGCAGGCAGATCACCAAAGGTCAGGAGTTCAAGACCAGAGTGGCCAACATGGTGAAACCCTGCTGCTACTAAAAAATACAAAAATTAGTCAAGCGTGGTGATGGGCGGCTGTAATCCTAGCTACTGGAAAGGCTGAGGCAGGAGAATCGCTTGAACCCTGGGAGGCGGAAGTTGCAGTGAGTCCAGATCGTGCCATTGCACTTTCCAGCCTGGGAGACAGAAGTGAGACTCTGTCCCCCAAAAAAAAAGGTACATATATGATCTTGATTCCTCTACCCAGTGGCACCGTGAACGGTATTATTAATTTTGGTCCTACGTAAGGTATTATTAACACATGGATTTTCATTTTTCGCCTAAGTATCCTGAACCAGTTAAACTGAACACTTGGAAAAGGGGGCGGGGGGGCGGATATCGAGAGCCAAAGCAGTGGTTCTTGAGCATCAGAATTACCCGCTGGTTAAAATTCAGACAGCTCGCCCACTCCAAAGTTTCTGATTCGGCAGGTTTGGGGTGGGGCCCGAGAATTTGCCATTTTAACAGTATTTCCCGTGATGCCGATGCCGCTGGTCCCAGAATCACATTCTGAAAACAACTGGCCTAGAACGTTGTCACTCCTTTCTCCAGATGTTAAGGCAGCCAGTGCGCTCAGAAACGAAACAGAGGCCGCAGGATCCGATACCCCGCAGCGTTGAAGCGACTCAAACTACCGATCCAACCGATAAGCAGGATCCCGGCTACCTCAAGCCGCGCGAGAGTTTATGTGACGACGTCGGCGTTAGCGTCACGGCGGCGTCGGCCACGTTCAGCGGACACGGGAGCAAGATGGCGATTCCGGGCAGGCAGTGAGTGATCCGGGAGTTAGGGTCAGGCTGGGGGTTGAGAAACTGCGGCGACTGTGTCTTTGGCCAAGGAGTTTTAAATGCGCTGGAAGTGAAGGGGCTGTGTCGTCAGGGGTAGAGACGGGAAAAAACGAGAAGTCCTGAGGAACATAGAATCCCCTCCCCCGTACATTTTTCCAGGATGGAAGCCCGAAGTTTGAGGGAGAAACTTGTGAGGAAATAAAGGAAGTTAGGCTGAGGGGCAGAGAGCGAGACTTTTCTATTTTCCAAAAGCTCGGTCTGAGGCCCCTCAGTCTTGCTTCCTACCCCGCGCTTGAGTTTCTCCCCGCTTGGATGCTCTCGGGGCAGTGTGAAGAGAGACAGTTCCTGGCTTCCTTAGAGGGCCTTGTTCTCCTTGGCAGAAGCTCAAGTCCTGATTCCCGCCCTTCCTTCTCGTTTTAGGAATATTGTTCTGAGAAGCCACAGAAAAAGGGTAGGCATGTAGGAAATTGGGGCATACGTTGCCGCAAAAGAGACAAATAATGTACGTACTTGAAAGTTTTACCTTTGATGTGTAACCCTTACTTTTGATGCGGCCTCCCGTGATCTCCGCATCTTAAAGGCCAAAACGTGGGAGACTCAAGAAGTTGAAAGTGATGGGATGGTTCTCTCAGCGGCCCCGAGGCTAAGCACGTGATGTTAATAAAGTGTAATGCGACCTTGCCTCTATGGCTACTTGGGGTTCTCAGTTAATCTTTTAAAAATTTTCGTGAGTTACACTCTCCAGTCAGTTCTTAGAAACTGTTTACGCAGTAGGAGAAGAAAAAAAAAAAACAAAAACAAAAAACTAGCCATTTTCTTGACTTGTTAGACCACAAGGATAATTTAAAGTATTTAAAAATCTGTAGTGAGGGCCGGGCGCGGTGGCTCAAGCCTGTAATCCCAGCACTTTGGGAGGCCGAGGCGGGTGGATCACAAGGTCAAGAGATCGAGACCATCCTGGTCAACATGGTGAAACCCCGTCTCTACTAAAAATACAAAAAATTTAGCTGGGCATGGTGGCGCGTGCCTGTAATCCCAGCTACTCAGGAGGCTGAGGCAGGAGAATTGCCTGAACCCAGGAGGCAGAGGTTGCGGTGAGCCGAGATCGCGCCATTGCACTCCAGCCTGGGTAACAAGAGCGAAACTCCGTCTCAAAAAAGAAAAAGAAAAAAAAAAAATCTTTAGTGGACATGAACTAAGTTTTCCTCTACACATTTTTTTTTAATGTTACTGTCACTTCGCCATCTTAAAACATTTCTGAACTTTTTAAAAATCTCTCTTCTTTGATAAAAATGGTATTTGAGTTTGGCCTCTGTCCACAAATGATCACTTAGAGTAATAATTATAGAACCCTATGGCATGTTAGAATTTTGAGATCACTGAGAAGCAGAAGCAGTCTGTTAATGTGTTCATAAAGCTTACGATATGTTTTGATTTGGTAGCTTCATGTGGAAGAGATAGTAGATGTATTATTTGTTAACATTTAAACATAACAGTTTAATTTCTATTTCAAAAAAAATATATGCAGGTATGGGCTTATTTTGCCAAAGAAAACACAGCAGTTGCACCCTGTTTTGCAAAAACCTTCAGTGTTTGGGAATGATTCTGATGATGATGATGAGGTAAGGAAACCTATGTTTTACTCGTGCATTGTTGGAAATGTAAATTTTTTAAAAATTGAACTTGTGACTCTGATACCTTTGCCTTTGTTTGTCAATACAGTGAAGTATAATTTACAGAATTATGAAAAGAAATGTTTAAAAAAGCAGCTCCACCAATTTTTTAAAGATTTTTTTTACCTCTAAAAGCTGCGAACTTTACCTTTAAACAAACACAGTCTTTTCAGACTACTGAAATTGATTTAACAAAATTGTTGGTGTAAAGATCCTTAGTTATGAGTTGGTAAGATGTCACCAATTTCCTACAGACTTTTAGCAAAGCAGTTTTTAATTTGTTAACCATGATCTAAGATCACTATATAACAGTTCCTAATGACACTACCTTTTTTTAATTCAGTGTCTGCTAAATGTAATTTCTCAGTTATAATCATTGTAGTGAATAGTTACCCTTGATAGTACTATAATTACATCTAATATAAAAATTTTCTATTTTAGCAGCCAAAACAGTGTTTTTCTTTTCTTTTCTTATTTTTTTAAGATGGGGTTTCACCATGATGGCCAGGCTGGTTTTGAACTCCTGACCTCAAGTGATCCACCCACCTCAGCCTCTCAGAGTGCTTTACAGGTGTGAGCCACCACACCCAGCTAAAACTTTTTCTGTGAAACCCACAGTTATGTATCAGAAACAACCCCAAATGTGTGCTTTTTTTTTTTTTTTTTTTTTTTTTTTTTTTTTTTTTTTGAGATGGAGCCTTCCTCAGTTGCCCAGGCTGGAGTATAGTGTTGCATTCTTGACTCACTGCAACCTCAGCCTCCCAGGTTCAAGCAATTCTGTCTCAGCCTCCAGAGTAGCTGGGATTACAGGCACCTGCCATCATGCCTGGCTAATTTTTGGCCAGGCGGGTCTCAAATTCCTGACCTCAGGTGATCCGCCCACCTCAGCCTCCCAAAAGTGCTGGGATTATAGGCGTGAGCCACCGTGTCCAGTAAATGTGTGCTTTTCTGATACTCCATGTTTTAATCTTTCTATCTTTTCTCTTTTCTTTTTTTTTTCTTCCAAATTTCACTCTTGTTACCTAGGCTGGAGTACAGTGGCGCGATCTTGGCTCACTGCAACCTCTGCCTCCTAGGTTCAAGTGAGTCTCCTGCTTCAGCATCTCCAGTAGCACCTGCCACCACACCTGGCTAATTTTTTGTATCTTTAGTAGAGACGGAGTTTCACCATGTTGGCCAGCCTGGTTTTGAACCTGTCCTCAGGTGATTCACCAGCTTTGGCCTCCCAAAGTGCTGGGATTACAGACATGAGCCACCACACCCAGCCCCCACTTTTTTTTTCTTTTTTTGAGATGCAGTCTCCCTCTGTCACCCAGGTTGAAGTACGGCAGTGCAAACTCAGCTCACTGCAATCTCTGCCCTGAGGGTTCAACCGATTCTCCTGCCTCAGCCTGCTGAGTAGCTGGGATTATAAGCATGTACCACCACACCTGGCTAATTCTTGGTAGTTTTAGTAGAAGCGCGATTTCACCATGTTGGCCAGGCTGGTCTCGAACTCCTGACCTCAGGTGATCCACTGACTTTGGCCTCCCAAAGTGCTGAGATTACAGGCCTGAGCCACTGTTCTGGCCTCCCAAAGTGCTGAGATTACAGGCCCGAGCCACTTCGCCTGGCACGTTTCTTAAAGAATTTTGCATCAGTTAAGCTGGTATTTTGTTTGGTCTGGCAGAAGAATAGCTTGTTTTTCTTTCTTTCTTTTTTTTTTTTGAGACAGAGTTTCATTCTTGGTGCCCAGGCTGGAGTACAATGGCGCAATCTCAGCTCACTGGAACCTCCGTCTCCTGGGTTCAAGCAATTCTCCTGCCTCAGCCTCCCGAGTAGCTGGGATTCCTGCCACCACACCTGGCTAATGTTTTGTATTTTTTGTAGAGATAGGGTTTCACCATGTTGGCCAGGCTTGTCTCCAACTCCTGACCTCAGGTGATTCACCCACTTTACCTTTCAAAGTGCTGGGATTACAGGCATGAGCCACTGCGCCTGAATGTTTTTCAGTTTTTATTATATAATAGCATGGGTAGATAATTGAACGTAGTTGGTATTTCTTTGCTACCTTTGAAGACATTGGCTCTGTATGGCTCATGCTTTTTAAAAATTGAGGTATAATTTACATATAAAATTCTCAGATTTTAAGTATACAGGTTGATGATTTTTGAGAAATGTATATGCCCCAATCAAGATTTAAACATTTCCCTCTCTCCCAAAAAGTCTTCCATACCCTCCTGGAGTCAGTCTACCTCCCAACTTGCTGCCCCAGACAAGTGCTCGTATTTTTCTTGCTAAATTAGTTTTCCCTGTTACAGAGTTTCATATAAAAGAAATCATACAGTATGTATTCTTTTATATCTAACTTACTCCACTCAGTATATTGCCAGATCCATCTTATAGTTGTAGAATCACATTTTTCTTTTTCTTTTTTTTTTTTTTTTTTTTTTTTGAGACGGAGTTTCGCTCTTGTTACCCAGGCTGGAGTGCAATGGCGCGATCTCGGCTCACCGCAACCTCCGCCTCCTGGGTTCAGGCAGTTCTCCTGCCTCAGCCTCCTGAGTAGCTGGGATTACAGGCACGCGCCACCATGCCCAGCTGATTTTTTGTATTTTTAGTAGAGATGGGGTTTTACCATGTTGACCAGGATGGTCTCGATCTCTTGACCTCGTGATCCACCCGCCTCGGCCTCCCAAAGTGCTGGGATTACAGGCTTGAGCCACCACGCCTGGCTCACATTTTTCTTAAAATGGATTTTTCCTCCTTAACAGTGACTTGTTTTTCTTCCTTTTTTTTTTTTTTTTTTTTTTTTTTGAGACGGAGTTTCGCTCTTGTTACCCAGGCTGGAGTGCAATGGCGCGATCTCAGCTCACCGCAACCTCCGCCTCCTGGGTTCAGGCAATTCTTCTGCCTCAGCCTCCTGAGTAGCTGGGACTACAGGCACGCACCACCATGCCCAGCTAATTTTTTGTATTTTTAGTAGAGACGGGGTTTCACCATGTTGACCAGGACGGTCTCGATCTCTTGACCTCGTGATCCACCCGCCTCGGCCTCCCAAAGTGCTGGGATTACAGGCTTGAGCCACCGCGCCCGGCCTTTCTTCCATTTTTAAAAAAATTCTTCATAAAATTTTAGAATAAGGGACCATAAGAAATGAATCAAGGTTACTAGTTAAATCTCCATTTCTGTGTAGCCAACTGCAATATTTTCAAATAGAATATTGCGGAAGTTACTAATTACAAGTTTTGATTTTTTAATTATGTTGTTTCATTAATAAATATTTAATACTATAGGTTAAGAGTTGATGAGTTTTGCATCTGTAGCCTATGTGCTTTTTATTATGTGGTACCCTTTTAACTATTTTTTGGGGGACCATATAGTGTTGCTTTCAACCAGTGTCTAGTTTAGTGAGGAAGACAGACATGTAAACATGAATATAAAGCAGACTGAAATTTGGAAAGGAAACTAAGATAGTGAGGATTCTTATGTGCTCATTAAACTTTATTTGATCTTCCAGATCACTCTGATGTATTATTATTCTCATTTTACATGTCAGAAATGATATGTAAAGATAGTAAGGATTCCTATGTGCTCATTAAACTTTATTTGATCTTCCGGATCACTCTGTGATGTATTATTCTCATTTTGCATGTCAGAAATGATATGTAAAGATAGTGAGGATTCCTATGTGCTCATTAAACTTTATTTGATCTTCCAGATCACTCTGTGATATATTATTATTCTCATTTTACATGTCAGGTTTAGTAATTTGTTCAAGGCCATGTGGCTGAAAAATAAGTGGCAAGATTGGGATTTGAACGCAGGCCTGTCTGGTCCCCAAACCTATACTCTTCTTTCTTCTGTCTTGCCTTGTTTTAATAATAGAGCTACAGAATGTTAATGAAATGTAGAGAATGAAATAATTCACTTTATTGCAGGAAAATCAAGGCAGGAATAAGCATTTAAATAGCCTTCAAGGCTGGTTTAGATTTCAGTAGGCAAAAATAGAGGTGGAGGCCGGGCTTGGTGGCTCACGCTTGTAATCCCAACACTTTGGGAGGCCCAGGCAGGCCAGTCACCTGAGGTCAGGAGTATGAGACCAGCCTGACCAACATGGAGAAACCCCGTCTCTACTAAATTAGCTGGACATGGTGGCACATGCCTGTAATCTCAGCTACTCGGGAGGCTGAGACAGGAGAATCGCTTGAACCTGGGAGGCAGTGCTTTGAGCCAAGATCGCACCATTGAACTCCAGCTTGGACAACAAGAGCAAAACTCTGTCTCAGAAAAAAAATATAGAGGTGGAAATAATTTCAGTTGGGAGAGAACAGCAAAAAAATACAGAATGGCATACAAGTACAAGGCATTTTTGTGTAATAACATGGCTGGAGAAGAGGGTGTATAGGAAAAAATTTTGCAAATGAGATTGTAACAGGATTGGGCCAGATTGTGGAGTACCTTAAATTTTTCATGTAAAATTTCAACTTTATATTTTTAGGTAGTTTTTGAGTAATTCAGTATCATACTTTTGGGAAGATAACTCTTGAATTGTAAAGCAAAGAATGGGAGAAATGAATGATAAGGTTCAAAATACTTGTTAGAAGGCTTTTTCAGGTAAGAGACATCAACCTAGGTTGAGGTCAGTGAGAATAAATGGAAAATATGAGAGATACCACAGAAATAAATAGGACCTGGAAGCCACATTTAATATGTGGGAAGGTTAAAGAGATGAGTTCTTATGCAAGATCTTTTTTTTTTTTTTGGTCATTTTCCCTCATTAAAAAGTTACTGCAATATAATTCACATACTGTATACTTTTAGGATGTACAATTCATTTTTTTTTTTTTTTTTTGGGAGATGGAGTCTCGCTCTGTAGCCCAGACTGGAGTGCAGTGGTGTGATCTTGGCTCACTGCAGCCTCCGTCTCCTAGGTTCTGGTTCAGGCAGTTCTCCTACCTCAGCCTCCC